TAGGGGTTAGGGGTTAGGGGTTAAGGGTTAGGGTTAGGGTTAGGGTTAGGGTTAGGGTTAGGGTTAGGGTTTAGGGTTTTAGGGTTGCTGTATACCCCGCTCAAAATAACCCCTCTTTGTGTGTTGTTGGTTGGCCGGCCCTCTGCGAAACTCCTTCCTGTCTGTCTTACTTGTGTCGATGTGCTTCTCTTTACTCAAACAAGTAAACAAAGTGAGGATGGAACGTAAACATTAGACTTACACACTACTAATCCTTTTTAAAAAAAAATTTTAACAATTTATTTTGTTAACAGTTCAGTACGTCTGCCAAGGCACAAGTCAAAAGCATGAAGTGAGACGACACATACCAGCTTAAGAAAGAACTCACACAGACCGAAGCACACGCATACGCACACGCACACACATACGCACACTCATACGCATACGCACATGCATACACACACGCATACGCACACACACACACACACACGCACGCACGCACGCACACACATACACACACGCGCTCACCCAAACATTATGATTTTCATCAGGAAGCAAATTTTGTTTAACTTAGGAGACTTCGGACTCATCAAAATCCATGACAAAAACTGAAGAAGGAAGATTTGTTTCCCTCTTAGGAAAACCGTTTGAATGAAGAAAGAGTTAACACTGCAGGGAATATGATAGGTCTTCGACATCGCACGCACGGGGCCGTGAGTTTGATTCCTGTGAGAGGAATTGGATTTGTTTGTTTTTGTTTTGGGAAGGACTTCCGTATCGAGTGACCACCCCAACAAACACAATATAGAAGAGACCTAACCCTGGCCCAATCCCTTACCCTATCCTACCTCTACCCCTACCCTAAACCTTACCCCGATTTTTTAACATTTTAAGATTTAACTACTGACCCGAGCCAGCCGTATAGCGAACTGTTGTGAACAAGACCAACTTGTGTTTCGCGCGCTCATATAACCTTACGCAGTTGCGAGCGCCGTAAAACCCTATACTACTACTAAACCTTACCCCTAACCCTACCCCTACCCCTACCCCAAACCTTACTCCTAACCCTACCCCGAACGCTCTATTCTACTTCATTTCATAATGGTTGCTCGTTACGGAATTCCTCCCTTGTTTTGTTGTTGTTGTTGTTGTTTTTTACAGAGCTTCCACGTCTGTCTGCAGAGACATTGTGTCCTTTCCAGCCTGGATTAGTCCTGAGTGGGAGGATCGAAGCATCCGACTCATAAAGGATCTAAATTACGTCCGGGGGGTGGCATAGAAGGGAGGACTTCCGTAACAAGCGACCACTATGAAACAGTAGAATAGAAGGTTAGGGTTATTTGGATCTGGATTAGGGTTATGGTTTGGGGTAGGGGCAAGGGTAGTGTTAGGGATTGGATCAGGGTTAGGGTTAGATCTAAGTCTCTTCTGTATTGTATTTGTTGGGGTGGTCGCTCGATACGGAAGTCCATCCGCATAGAATATCAACAATTACATAAGTACAATAAAACAAC